ATAACATAGTATCAATGTAATCGTAAGCCTTGTGAATTATATCACTTTTGTATCAATGTAATCATAAGCTTTGTGATTTGTATAACCTTTGCGTAATGCATGATGTCTTAGGCCCTTTACTCTATGGCAAGCTTGATTACCGCTTCCGCCAGGCCTGCCCTACTGATAAAAGCTATGAGATACCTCTGATACCCGGCACCAGGAAGTCTGGACAGAAAAATGTCACTATTGATAAATACAGCTAAAACTCAAGTTTTATACAATGCTCTGCTGGTCACATGGCTAATGTATATATACTGACAACTCTGGACTACAAAAGTGAACTGTAAAAGCCTGGAGGGTGAGCAGAACCATTTTGAAAGACCTTGAAGCCGGGCTCGGTGGCTCAGCCTGTAATCCCGCACCTTTGGGAGGCTGAGGTGAGTGGATTGCCTGAGCCCGCGGGTTCGAGACCCGCCTGGGCAGGGAGACCTCATCTCTACAATAAATCAAAAAATCAACTGGGCGTGGTAGCGTATGCCTGTAATTCCGGCTACTTGGAAGGCTGAGGCGGAAGGATCGCTGGAGCCCAGCAGGTCGAGGCTGCGGTGACCGGAAGTGGCCACTGCACTCCAGTCTGGGTGACCGAGTGAGACTCCAACTCAAAAAATAAAAATTAAAAAAAAAAGAAAGACCTTGAGTCTGACTCTACTCCCTGGATTCAAACTCAGAAATAAACTTCTTTCTACCAGTTCCCTGCCCCTTTGATTTACTGGTATCAAGGGGAGCAGCCAAGCGTTACTCGGACCATAACACTCCTTTGCTGGGAGTGAGGCCAGTGAGCTCTAGGCATAAGGGTGCTTGGTGGCTTGTTGGAGCTTTCCACTCATGCCACATATGCATTTACTTGTATGATCTCACTGATGCCAAACCACAATGCTGAGAGAGAGGAATATCATCCCCCATTTTAGAGATGACCAGCCTAGGCAACATAATGAGGTCCCGTCTCTACAATAAGATTTTTAAATTGCCCAGGTGTGGTGGCACACACTTGCAGTCCCAACTACTCGGGATGCTGAGGCAGAAGGATCGCCTGAGTCCTGGAGGTCAAGGCTGTGGTAGTGGTGATTGTGCCACTGTACTCCCGCTTGGGTGACAGCGTGAAACCCTGACTCCAAAAAAAAATTCTGGCCTGCTCCCAGCAGCATGGCTCCTAAGCTGTTGGAATCTGTGTATGGTGGTAGTATCTGGGAACTGCACCTCTAGGTGACAGCTCTGGACTTGGTTTTCAGACAAAGACAAGAAAATGCATCCCTTTTTCTGACAAAAGCTTGTGACTGGGCCCCTTTATTCTCGGGTAAGCGCAGACAGTGAGCCACGAGGCAGGGCTCATATCATGGATTTCTGTCTGTCTTTTCACAACACATCATCTCGCCTATCTTACAGCAGGGTGGCATCAGATTGCCTACCTGGCTGTTTTCACTTCATGTCTCTTGGAGATCATTCCCTCTTAGGACACACGTGTCTGCCTCATCTGTTTAGTGACTACATAGTATTCCATCTTATGGGCATGCCACGGTGCTTTTAACATTCCTCCCCCTAGGCAAGGGGAGCCAGGCTGAATCCAGTCTAGTGAACAATGTCACACAGATACCTGTGTGTATGTGGGCAGGGCGGGGGATATGCCTACAGGTGAAACTGACAAGTCAACAGGAACCAGGAAGGCACATTTTAAATGGTGGTGGATGGTTCCAAATGGCTCCTCACCAACGATATGCAAGGTGCTTGTTTTCCTACTCCCTGATGACAGCTAGAAAGTGACTTTTTTGTAGTTTTAATTTGCATTCTCTTCTTAGTCCAGAGGCTTTGAAATGCATGTCACAGGGGACAGGTCTCCAGGCAGGAACTATTTTTCATTTCCCACAGTTCATTGGTTTGGGCAGAGAGGAATGAGAAGCTGGTACAAGTCCTTCATGCCCTCAAAAGCAGAGAGTCTCTGTTCTGGTTGCCCATGGTGGCATCCAAAGGCCACAAAACTCAGTACCTGAAAAATAATGACCATGTTTTGACCTCTCACAGTGCTGAAGGGAGGCAGGGCTCAGCTGGGCAGGTTTTCTGCTGGTCTCACTGAGGGTCTCTCATGTAGATAGTGCTGGGGATAGAGCCACTGGGGGCTCAGCTTTGATGCTGGGACAGCCAGGCTGTCTCTTCTGTTCCAGCTGGTCTCAGGCCCTGTCCCTCTCCACTGGGCCTCTCCATGGGGCATCTCCTGCTAGACTTCTCGTGTAGTGGCTTAGGGAACCCAAGGGAGCAAAAGCTGAGCCTGCCAGGACTGGCACAGCAACACCTCTAGGGCATTCTATTGGATAAAATAAGCACTAGCTCAGCCCAGATTAGAAGGGAGAGGAGTCCACAAGGGTGTGATGTCGAGCAACCATGCTCTGACTGAATACTTGCAACCACAGTCTCAGAGTATGGTCTGAGTGTTCAACATGGCAGTGCATTTCTACTCAGTAAGAGTCTTGCAGTCTGGCATTCCGTCTGTGCTGTGAAGGCTGCCAGCTTCTCCCCTGCTGATCCAGCCAGTATGATGTCTGCATCTTACTCCACAGGCAAGTAGAGCAAGTAAGCCTCTGCCTCCCGAAGTGTAGCACCAAGTTCACAGGTCCTGAGAACCATTAAGGCCAGCATGCAGTGCATGCATGTCCCCGGGCAGAGGGGTTCTTTGCTTCCCTGCTCCATGGCCTCTCTGAGCTCTGGGCACAGGGCATGAAGGACAGCCACCGACCTGGGGTGTGACATCAGCTCACACTGAGCTCTCATGTCCCTTCTGTAAATGTCAGGGTGACACTATAATTGGAGTTAAGAGTCTGGCCAACTGCGTCGCTTTATAAAACTCCTGAATTAAGAGCATGTGTGAGGAAGCAGGGTCTCTGTGTGGCATGCTGGCCTGGAGTGCTGGCTGGGAGTTGGCCACATCTGCTCCCAGGTGCAGGTCTGAGACTGGGAGCAATGTGTCTTAAGACTCAATTTTATTATCTGCAAAGTGGAGTGCAAAATGACAGGGCACGGTGGAAAGCAACCTGGCAGTTCCAAAAAGTGAAACAGAGTTATCACATGACCCAGCCATTCTTCTCCTAGGTATACACCTGAGAAAACTGAGACGTACATCCACACAAAAACATGTATGTGAATACCCATAACAGCAGCATTCACAGTAGTCAGGATGCAGAAAGAACCTAAATGCCTGTCAGCTGAGGAACAGATCAACAACATATGGTCTATCCATACAAGGAATGAAGTTCTGATACATGGTACTGTGTGGATGGCCCTTGAAAACACTAAGCTACGTGAAAGAAGCCAGTCACAAAAGGCCCCAGATTATATGATTCCGGTTCTATGAAATGTCCTGAATAGGCAAATCCATGGCGATGGGAAAGAGATGAGTAGTTTGCCAGGGGCTGGGAGAGGAGAAGGGGAGTGACTGCTGATGGGGCAGGGTTTCTGTTTGGGTAACAGAAATGGCCTCTAATTACATAGCAGTGATGGGCCGGGTGCAGTGCTCACGCCTATAATGCCAGCACTTTGGGAGGCCAAGGTCAGAGGACTGCCTGAGCCCGCGGGTTTGAAACCAGCCTGGGCAGCTTGGCGAGATCTCATCTCTACAGTAAATCAAAAACTTAGCCAGGCATGGTGGCATGCGCCTGTAGTTCCAGCTACCTGGAAGGCTGAAGCAGAAGGACTGTCTGACCCCAGCAGGTCGAGGCTGTGGTGGCAGTGACCCTGCCACTGCACTCCAGCCCGGGCAACAGAGTGAGACTCCGACTCAAAAAAGAAGCAGTGATGTTGCACAACCTGGTGAATATGCTAAAAACCACTGAATGGTATACTTTCAAGTGGTGAATTTCATGGTATATGCATCATATCTCGGTGTTTTAAGTGAGGCCTAAGGAGAACCCTGTACAGGAAGTGCCTGGTGCACAGTGGGGGCTCGATGAGGCATCCACATCATGAGCCCATGCTACACAGAGTTCCTTGAATGTGGCTCATCTGTCCTTCCACCCCAGGACCAGGATGCCCAGTCCCAGGAAACGCTGGGGGTGACGGGACATTTCAGGGGGATGTCTTTGGCCCTGGGCTGAATCTTCCTCTGGCCCCCAAACTGGTAGGCAAAGTCCACCTGCTGTCCCAGCCTTGTTAGTTATGCCACTCTTCCTCCTCTCAAAGTGTAGTCAGGCCTCTGTGTCTGTGGGTTCCATGTCCATGGCTTCAACCTACCACAGATCAAAATACTTGAGAAAAAAATGGATGGGCTGTGATTGGACTGAACACGTAGGCTTTTCCCCCTGTCATTATTCCCTAAACAATACAGCATAACAATTTCCATGGCATTTACGTTGTTCTGGGTATTAGAAGTAACTTAGGCATGACTTGAAGTAGACAGGAGGATGTCTGGAGATTATATGCAAATACTACACCATTTTATATCAGGATCTTGAGCGGCTGTGGATTGTAGTGTCCAGTGGGTCCTGGAAGCAAGCCCCACTGAGAATACAGAAGGATGACTGTATATGCTCCTTTGGGAAGGCTTCTCTTTGGAAGAAGGGCATGGTTCAGGCAGGTAGAGATAGCATTTGTTCATTCATTGTATGTCCCAATCTATATTCCTGGTAAGTGGAAACAACAGAAGGACCAGCTGGAGAGCTGTCCGGCTTCGAGGTCTTGGAAGACGTTGCTCCCAGTAAGGGGTAGAGAGGGTCAGTTTCCCCTGCGATCCAGGGGCACACCAACCAGGACCGCCAGGGGAGGAGCCCGGCGTCTCAACGAGCCAGACAGGCCCACAGCAGGCAGGGGCTGGGGGAGTAGGGCATGTGGATTGCTTGGGCCTGATGAGAAGAGAAGGAGGACCATGGGTGGAGAGGCAGCAAGGGGGCAGCTGCGGGCCTGAGGAGGAGGTGCTTCAGAGAGGGGTGCAGGGGAGGGAGGCCTCTCCTGACTCAGGGTATCCCGCTGTCTTGCAGCGCCCCCGGGGCCGAAGCTGAGTGCCGATCAGCTGGCACTGGTCTACAGCACGCTGGGGTTCTGCCTGTGTGCCATCATCTGCTGCTTCCTAGTGGCCGTGGCCTGCTTCCTCAAGAGGAGGTGGGAACCCTTCTCCTGCTCGCCCCCTGCAGGGCCCTGCCGAACCCGGGCCAAGACCTCCCAGGGTGAGTGCAAGAAGCTGGGGTCCTCGCCCTTCGCACTGCTTGGGTGACCTGCCTCGGGCCATCGGACCATCCCTGGTCCAGTCACTGCCCCTGCTTCTAAATGGAGAGCGGTTTGCTAAATCTTCCCAGGAAGGTTGGGAGCACAGCCCCGTGTTACTTGTTCTGTCTTGGTAAGATCAGGTTACCGCATCTGGGCAAGAAGAGGAGACGTGACACTTGAGGAAGGTTGGGGTAGGGCGACAGGCCTGCGGGTTTGCATGACCTGAGGGTTCCCAAGACACAGGGCTGTCATGGCTAACACCGGGAGGAGGCAGTCACCGCGCGGGGCGTGGCTTGTCTAGGGGACCGGACAGAAGAGCCAAGATTCACCAGCCTGCCCCTGCACTGGGGTTGGGGGGTGGAGAGGAGACTGACGCCGGCCTGGGAGCAGCCTCACCCTGTGGTTACCCTAGTTCCTGGATAGGGGAGACTTCGGGAGCTCGAGGTTGGGGGAGGCCTGGTGGTGGGGACAGCCAGGTGGGGGGAGGGGGAGGTGCTCGGCGACGGGTGCAGGGCAGGAAGCCGGTTTAC